GCGAAAATGATTGCTCTTGCATGTTCAACTGCAATACCAGAGAATGATTCGTCGGTATTGTATTTGAGTTTGCCTTCGTCGACATCAATATACTAAAACACCAATAGAACAATAAGAGATACAGAAATAAAAAGCAACTCAGATTCATAAAGTTACATAAACAAAATTATTGTTGAAAATCGATATTTGATTGTGGTCAAAGTATCTAACGCATGATGAGTGCTAAGTGTGAGTTAAATAAGAAAATAGGAAACAAACTGTTAGAATATGTGGAATAGAGTTACCTTTAGTGACAAGTTATTCCCATGCATATGTGATCTTATGTTAGAGAGTTAGTTAGGTTTCGGTTATTGTTAGTTAGTTGGTTATAATTAGTTGAGATACTATATAAGCTTGTTGTAATCTCTTTTATCTTTTGAGTTGATTCAATGCAATAATAGTTCCTTATTCTCTTTTCTTTTCTTGGTTCTTCTTTATCAAATGATCACACCAATATCCTAACATGGTATCATTCGCCATCTCGATTCAACCTTACTCTTTCGCTCTTTCCATTCTTTGATTTTCTGCTTCATCTTCTTCAATGGCGCCACAGGGAAATCAAGTTCTTAATCCACAACTTGACCAAACCAGTCTGTATTCTGTTCATCCAAGTAATGGACTTGATTCAGTCAAGGTCCCTCTTCTTAATGGTTCGAATTATCATTCTTGGGCAGGATCGATGCGACGTGCGCTTGGCTCCAAGATGAAACTGGAGTTCATTGATGGTTCCATCATAACCCCCGATGATCCGTTTGATTTATCCATGTGTGCTTGGAATCTACGCAACACGTTAATCCTTTCATGGATTATCAATTTTGTTTTCGAATCTATTGATCAGTCCATAGTTTACATGGAAATGCCATTGGTGTGTGGAAAGATCTCAAGGAAAGATTCTCACAAGGTGATCTTATTCAAGTTTCTGAACTTCAACAAGAAATATATGCTTTGAAACAAGATATTCTTTAGGAAGAATTAGAGATCTACATGCCAATTCCAAATTGTGTTTGTCGAATCTGATGCTCTTGTGCAGCTATGAGAAATGCAAGAGATCATCATAATTTACTATACGTTACATGTTTCTTGACAGGCCTGAATGAAAATTTTGTTGTGGTGAAATCACAGATCCTCTTAAAGGAGCCTTTACCACCCGTGAACAAGATCTTTTCCATAGTGTTACAACATGAAAGGCAAGGTAAACTTGCCCCTTCTAATGATTCTCATGTCTTGATAAATGTTGTAGGTTTCAAAAGACAAGGTTCTAAATCGAGTAACTCTAACTTTCAATCTAGTACATCTAAGTCCAAAATGTGTACTTATTGTGGCAAATATGGTCACACTATTGAGGTCTGCTATAGGAAACATGTTTTCCATCTCATTAGGGTAAAGGATCCATCGCCAATAGTACCTCCTAAAAGGAAAATGATGATGATAACAATCCTTCTACTCGATCACAAATTGACAAGAATAGTCTTGCTTCAATCACTTAAGAACAATTTGACAAACTAGTGAATTTACTTTAGAATTCAGCTCTCGACAAAGGTTTATCCTCAGCAGTTTCCAATCAAGGGGGTTCATCATCATTTATAGGTCAGACACTTGTAAATGCCACAGGTAATTCTCATTCATCCACTTACAAATGTTCCACTATTGACTCTTGGATCATAGATTCAGGAGCAATTGATCACGTATGCTCTAACAACTCTTGGTTTAAATACATTAATCAAGTTAATCTCGTTAATGTAAAATTTCCAAATGGTCAATTTATCATGACCACAGGTATTGGCACAGTGCGATTTTCTCCTGATTTCATCCCCTCTAATGTGTTATACATACCTGGATTTTTTGTCAATCTTATATCAGTTCCAAAGTTATGTCAACATTCTTAATCATTATTAGCTTTAACAACACTAACGATTATTCCGGATCCACGGTCTATGAAGATAATTGGTTCAACTAACAAAATTGAAGAGTTGTACCATTTAGTTCTCAAAGGCAATCAGACAGCTCCTTCTAGTATAAACCATAATTCATCTTGTACTATACCTGATAATGCCTTGTGGCATTTTAGATTAGGACACCTCTCAACAAGTAGAATGCAAGTTCTACATTCCATATTTCCTTTTATTGTTGTTGATCACAAAACACTCTATGGTGTATGCCATTATGTCAAACATAAGAAATTGCCTTTTAATTCCAATTTTAATAAAGCTTCTAGACCTTTTGAATTAGTTCATTTTGATGTATGAAACCCATTAGCTATCAAATATCGTAATAGCCATTCATTTTAAGAATTATATTTTTTTCAACCTTCTCAAGATGCCTCGTGGGCATATAATTTGTGATAAAAAACATTACTCTTAAATAATATATTTCACATATACAATTAAGCAATATTATGCATGCTTTTTTTTGCATGAAACTAATTTATCAAATCTACATTAAGAGTAATATTTCTTTATCATTTTCAACATTAAAGACAAATACAAATGAAGAATAAGAAAAAAGGTCACAGTTAAGTACACATGAAAAAGAGTTTCGTCTTATAGAAAAAGTAGCACATTTAAAGTTTGAAGCTCTAATACATTGCACTATAAAATTCATGAGATCATACGCATAATTCTTAAATTTAAAGGAATAATAATGCTTTCAGTTAGATCTGAGCCCTTCCTCAGCAACCATTATAACATTTTATCGTCCTTTCCCATTGCTGCAACGTATACGAGCCAACATGCCCTCTGTTTCTACCAAAATAACATCCATCCCGGGAATTGTGGAAGTTTGCAAATGCTACAACAAAGTACAACACATATCACTTCATAATATATATAGTTATTTATAGACATTAGACACAAAATCTTTAACATGTAAACAATTTACAGAAGATACAACCTTGACATTAAGATTGAGCTTCTCTAACGAAATAATTCAAAATCACCGTAGAATCTAAATCTTAAAGATCAAACGCGGGTTAATAATAAATACAAATTGTAGTTATTTTTATATATACTTTTTGTTGCACTTATCGACTTTTTGTTATAAATATCGTTGAGTAAATCCGAATTTTGTGTAAATACGTTTAGTTTGTATTTATTTGTATTTTTGTGTACATAGTGTACCGTTTGATGTTTTTGCATTCATTTTATAGGTATTGATGCGCATTTGGAGTATGAGCAATAAAGTGTCGAAGACACGATTTCAAACACTCGACTTTGAGCAACTCATCAACAAATAAGGCTCAAAATCAAAGAATAAGAAATCATCAATTTAGTTGATATTTAGGCATTGTTAGATGGATAATTGAATAAGTTTTCCAACACTTTGAACTGGATGTAAATCGGAGTTACGGTTCTCAAGTTATGGCGGAAAGAATAAACTGATTTTTTTCTCATGACAATAGAGCGCGCTTAGCGGGATTGTGTCGCTTAGCGCGGTCCCCTGGACAAAATTGCGTTAAAAAAAGCCAAAATACACATTTTTAGGTTATGTTTTGGAGTATTTGTTCCCAACTCATCAAATCTTCATTTTTTGGTAGAAAGAGTTTAGAAAACAACTTTGGAACTTGCATACGGAAGATCCGGGAGGAATTGATAATCAATCGGCGTTGACAAACCGAGATATTTTTGATTCATTTCTCTTCCTCTTTGTGTATTTCTCTTTGGTTGGGTTTTGTATATGATTTTACTTTGAACTCATGTATATTTGTTGTCCATGACGTTATATTTAATTTGCTTTACAAATTTGTGTTGGTTGTTATCTTAGATTTTTGCTATGTGTTTGGGGTTTGGGTTGTTATAGATATATACTGCTCAAATCTTTTTCTAGGATGGTTATATATTAGTTTTTGGATTCTAGAGATAGATTTAGAACTAACAATCTTTATGGATGTCGAAGCTTAATGCTTCTGTGTTGGTTGTGTTGGTTAAGAGATCGTCGATACGAATAATATGGATGTTTGTTGTGTTATTGAGGTTGGTTGAGAGATTGTCACCGAGATGATATAGTAGTTCTCTCTATTTTGGGTTAGAAATAATTTAGGGAGTGAGCGATGCTAGATGACTCTGAGAAGTATTGTAGGTTGAGTGTAAGTGGTCGATAAGTTTAAGTTTGTGAGAAGTATATTATATGCATGCTTGATAAATTTCTTCTCTTTAGAGAATTAATTCTTTCCTATTAATATTTACTTTTATGTTTTTATGTTTTACTAATTCAATCCAAACTCATTAACGAAGGATTTGTCGAACGACATTTCAATACACCAATCTCTGTGTACACGATATAATATAATCTATATCATCCGATAAATTAATAACTTACTTTTTACTTACCGCTGCAACAATTAACCACCATAAAATTTGAAAAAATAAGTGACACTTAACACAATTAGAAATTCTGATTGGTCAGAATATTATATTTTGTGAATTACTAATAAGAGCTGCAATTTTTTTTTTTTGTCTAAAGGTATGAATGGAAGTGCTTAAACATCCCCCATTCTTAGTCAGGAATTAGATGCTCCCCTTAAACAATATTTGTGCCACCGTTATTTTCTCACAAATTGAGATACCGCTTGAACACCATAGTCAAAAAAAAACTTTCAATACCAAAAGTTTTGGTGAGACTTAACTTTGATTGAACAAATTTTTTGGTTGAGAGAGAGTAATGAGATCATTATAGACATTACATTTTGGCCTAGAACCTTAAAGTATAGGGTGATTCTTGTCACTTATTATACTAAAGTTTTCCAACATTCACTTTTCAGTTCAATTTATCACTCCTTTTTATGTTGAGATGAGTAATACAAATAATATTGCAAACAAGGAAATCATTTAAAATCGGTAACTATTTCACATAAGTTAATTACACATTACACATCACACAAAACAAATAAAACAAACCACACATCAAAGTGTTTCCCAACCACCTCAAAAGCAAAACTTTCAATTCCTATAGAGTTTAATTTCTGCCTACTGATTAGCAGCATATTGATTAATGAGTGAAAGAGCATTACTAGTAACTTGAGCAACATCAACCATTCTAGATCTAATAGAGCTTTTGATTCTTCCATCAAGTGCTTTTCCACCAAACCCATCACTACAAGTGCTTCCATCAGTCAAAGCTGAGCTAACCCATGTCTCAACATTACTTATATGCCAATTGAAATCTTGACTCTTGATCTTGCAAAGTTTAAGCTCTTTCAATGAACTGCTAAGCCTATCAACACCATCACCTATGACTTCAACACAATCATGAATTGCAGCATATACTCTTGGTTTAAGATTCTTGAAATACTTGCACTTTCTAACAAAGGCTTTTGTGGTTTGAGTTCTGTTGAGACTAAGTGATAAAGCTGTTTGGACTAATTGGTGTGGATCTTGTTGGATTTTTGATGCATAGACAGAGAGAGATTCAACACAAAGTGTTGGATATAGTGTTGTGCTACATGAGGATTTGATGAAGTTTGTTGGTGTTGATGTTGTTATGGAGACAAGAGTTATTAGAAGGAAAAGATATATGGAAAACATGGTTGCCATGTTTGGTTTGGTTGAGGAGAGAGAAAAACAAGTTTTTGTTTTGTGGTTGGTTTGTGGTTTGTGGTTTGTGAGAATGAGAATAAGGATGTAGATATTATATAGAGAGATATAGTTGAGGGTTGTGGTTTGTTCTATTCATAGGATCTGTTTTGTTGGTGTTGTTCTTTTATCATAAACATGTAAGTCGGCAATCAAATAATAAGTTTTGTGGTATTAAAAAACCAAGTTGTCGACATACTAGTATCTTCTTGTGATCGAAAAAAATTCAGCAATAATGCAATTCATTATTTTAATTAAAGTTTTTGTGGTGTTTGAGACTTAGGGTCCACCTAAGAAATATCTAAGGAACATAATTGGATTTTGGGAAGAATGCTTTAATTACTTACAAATCACAAATCATGCAGTGACAAATCATGTATTGTTCCCTGATGCTGTGATTAATTATGTAAATTAGTACTAGTATCAGTTTTGGTTGAATTATTGATTGGAGAGTTTTGTGGATTCGTTTCATTCTAGTGTCAACATATTTGTGTCCACTAATGGATTAGGGTCAGATCCTCTCAGATGTGTACTCATGGAGAGAGAGAGTGTGATTGAGAGAGGTTGGAGAAGCTTGAAGAATTATCTTTTAACTTTTTATTCTCTTTATTTATTTGTAAGGTTATTATTGTAGTTTTACAATATCAAATAAAATCATATTATTGTTTGAGAATTCTTTTTTTTTTCAATCATTAAACTCTAATGATCAGCTTCAATAATAATTTTATTGATAGTAGAAATTTTCAGCCATTAAACTACTTGATAAAAAATAGATAGTTGATGAATAAAAAACTTGTAGAAAAAAAAACTATTTCTTTATTTTATTATAATCTAGATTAGTTATATTTTTATTATTTGTCACATTTATATACATTTCTATTATTTAGTTGTCGCATTTTTATGAATTTGTTATTTTTATTTCGTATTGTTTTCAAATTTCAATACAAGATTAGTTTTAAAATTACTGTTAATCGTTTATAGCAGATAAAAAAATAAAATAAAATTGAATAACTTAGAGAATTTTTAGGTAAAGTATATTTATGGTATAAAATGTAATAAAATTTTATTATTTGTGTTGCTATGTCTAAAATATAAAAAAGAAAACAAAATGTTAAAAGAAACGAAAGAATATACTATACGATAGGAATACTTATACAACAATAAAAAGGGACCATAAGAAATATAAAGGCATGGGTAGACGCTATTAAATGTCGTTTGTTTGGCCACTAATGCTTTTGCACCTAAGTTGGGGAAGAAATAAAAACACTAGTTCTATTCCAAGTTTGGGAGCACACAAAATACGGTAGTGGGTTATGGTTCTCCAACCATTCCACAAGTTAAGTCAAGTCAAATTATTTATTTGATTTTTATTCAAAACGTCTTAATTGGTCTTAACATTTTTATGGTTTGATTTTCTTGAAAATAGCACATGGAACATCACATTGAAAATGAGGTCATAAATCACAATCATATACACCACACAAGGATAAAGTCTCGGCTGGATTAGTAAGTAAGGATCGAGTGGAAAAGAGTAGATTGAAGTTATAAACATTTGATAGAGCATTTAGAGAATAGAGAGTTGTTAAAAAAAAGGTAAATCACAAAGTTTCTCAAAAATCTAATAGTAAAATAAGTTTGCGTTTTACATATCTCGGTTTACTTATCTCAGATATCAATACTCTTTTATTGTAGTTGAGGTTAACATAAAACATCTTTCCCAATTTAAGAAACACTTTTTTCTGACTTACTACAGATAAAATATTTGACCGTTGCTTGACAATTGATGAAGAAATCAAACATTTTATAAAAAACATTTGTTAAGGTAAAAATGTTAAAGAGTATGATAATCAAGTGTTATTTAAGGCGAATCTCTTAAATATCAATTGAGGTGGGTCCTCAAGCATTGTAGGTAAACAAACGCGTAACATTCATTGCGTCAAATGATGGATTTGGTCCGAGAAGCCAAATTGATCTAAGTTCCTTGCATATGTTAGCGACATAGGGAATATTTTGGCCCGAGTTCCTAGTGAGAGGTTACTCATTACCATTAGGCCTAAATTTCAAATCTCTATAAAAAGGGTTTTGACCCCCATTTTCCTCTTTTTTAGACACTCTCCCCTTCAAGGCATTCATCTAAACTTTCATCAACCTCAGAGCGAACTTGTCTCCTTGATTCACCAAGTTTAACTCACAATCCATTATTCACATGTATATGTCTTTATTCTTACTCTTTTTCCTCTTTAGTGGAAAAACTTAGGGATTTAAATGAGAGTGGTAGGGCGATATAGCCTTCGAACATTAGCGAATGGTTAAAAATGTATTTGTATTTTATGAGGAATGTTGAATGGAAATTTAATTCAATTGACTATAGGTTCTTAGAAATAGGTGTATTTGGGAGTAACAATAACACTAGTAGTTATGAGAGGGATAATGACTCTCTTTCTTCCCGTTCTTTCCCAAACAAACTCCCAAAAACTAATGGTAGCTACCGATGTTAAATACACAAGCATTATAACCCTATAAACTTGTGAGTAAAAGGTAGTCTCCTTTTGGTGACACATCAGCCTTTCCAACACCGACAAAAATGATGATGTTATTACAGAGGCATCATGTTGTTTACCCTATAATTTGGTAAACAACCGCTGATCTTCTAAATCTCTAAAAAAAATTCAGTTACTTGCGAGATCGATCAGATTGATCTCAGGACTATTGTGTTCTAGTTTTTAGGAATTTTTTTTTTTGATGATAACTTCTTTAAACGAAGAGAATCACCTTGATATCAAATAAAGTGTTCTTATAAAAACAATAAAATAGAAAACTATTCTAGTCTGTAAATCGTAAAGAATATAAATGACATGAAGAAATTTCATTAAATGTAAATAACTTTCGAATGTAAATATGGTGCATCATACATATATGTCTCACTAACTCGTTTCTCTAACACCGGTACTTTGAGTATTTGAGTATATTGTACAAAGATGTGAACACCTTGAATCCTAACATCTACGACTCTTATTTATACTAATTCGACCCTAACGGTCTTTCTATGAGATTACGCCACGTTCGACACCTTTTACATGCATACATTCTGGCATTTTCACGCGTCTTTCTGGCGAAATGCATTAGTTTGAAATTTAAACTTCCCGCTCAAAGCTTTTTTGAATTCAACCAACGTGATTGTCGAAGTATTTCACATATTATTTTAAGTTCCTCTTTCGACATATAGAATCATAAGTTTTTTTTCTTTTTTACAAAAATAACCTTGTAAGGTCCAATTTCATGTTATTATGACCTTCTCACATCAACTTTCATATTTTTATCAAATATCGAAATCTTCAGCTAACACGTGTGCACATGAGGAGTGGGTTAACATGGCCTCCTTACCTGACTCTCCCAATCTCTACTTTTATCTGCACCTTCCCTTTATTCAATATTTTAGGGGTTTATTATTCCCTTTACCTTGTTCCTAGTGGAGATTGTAGAGTTTGACATTTTCGCTCCTTCACAAATCTTGCATAATAACAGGGGCTTTATTAGGGTATTCAAAATTATATATCATCGTCTGGATTCTAACCATATTGTTGGGGATACTATTTTCCTTTTACGACACTAAAATTGGTATCAAAAGGGATTTTTCGGTGACTATGTTTGACCTGTGTGGAAAGAAAAGTTTATGGGATTTTCTTTTGCCACCTAGTGGTCTTCTTCTAGGTCTCTGGTGAAAAACCTAAAATACCCCCAGACTTTGCATGTGTAAATGCGAAAGTAATGTATTTTACAATAACAGGTGACTTCGCATGTGCATCTGCGAATTAACCCATAATTTGTCAAAAATAGGATGACTCCACACATGCCTCTATGAAGTTACCCATAATTCCTCCTTTCGCACGTGTCGTACCCCAAATTTGTCCTATCTTTATTTTCAAGATTAAAATAGAAAATAAATGTTTTAATTAAGGATGGTCCAGCAATATCTGATGGCTCATTCTTAAATCTAAACCAACAGGGGGGTGTATTTTAAGTCAGGAAAGTGGGGCTTTCTAAATCAGAAAGATCCATGGCCCATTTACGAAGCATGTTGGCCAATGGCCCATGAGATTCGAATATGAAAGTTATTACAGAAAATTATTAAGTTTAATTATTATTAAGTCCATTAGGCTCTGTTGCTGTTAGTAAAAATAGGAGGTGAAAATTCAATTTGCAGGTCCATTTCATTTGGCCCATTTACATTTTTGTTGTTAAATGGCAAAGAGTGGGTATGGTTATAAGATTAGGCCCATTGAGTTTTTTAGCCAAGTCCACTTAACGTTTTGTCATTTCTGTTTTAAAACATTATCATTAAATCTCTTCTATTCATAATTACTTATAAAATATTTTTGCAAAATATTAAAAGAGTTATCATAACTGATTATTTTTATTACTAAAATATTTAATATGTTATTAGTTAGTAAGAGTTTTTGTTAATAATTGCAAAAATATATGTTCCATAGCATAACTGTAGGGTACAATCCGTATAAGATATGTTTGCGGTAGCGAAAAAAGCAAGTATTATTGTTTTGATAACATGCTGGGCTAAAATTGTGTTAGGCCCAAAAGTCAATTGGTAACGAGTTGGACAGTAAATAAAAAAATAACGTAAAGCCCAAATGAGGACAAACGAGAACTGTGCAAATCATGCAAGAAGAAAGCGCATGTTTTTATTAACTATTACTGTAGAAATAAAAAACAAACTAAATCAAATCTTTTACAGTCCAAAAACTAAAATATATTAAATCAAATCCAAAATTAGATCAATCTTCATTATGGTTTGAATCTTAGTATACAGAATACAATAAAAAATCCATTACAAACAATCTGAATCTCTAATGCAATCTCAAATCTCTAATACACATGATCAAATACTAAATCAATCACATATTACAATTAAAATCAATTACAAAGATTTGAATCCCTAAATTTGTTCTAAAGCCCTCAATCTAAGCTAACCAAAATTGTAATCGCAATTGAGACTAGCCCTATATATACCCAAATAGAAAAATACAGAGGGGAGACGAAGATATAGAGGAAAAAATTCTGAGTACAGAATCGCGAGGCTGGATTGCAGAAGAACAAAAGTTAAAGAAGACGAAGAACAAAGATATACCCAGATTCATTGAAGACCGAAGGAAGGTGATTAGGGTTTCAACATCTGAAACCCTAATCACGTTGTTTCTACCATGCAGACAGCCGCCGTCGAATACGCCTCCAGATCGTCATCCTCAAGGGCCGCCATAATCTGCAAAAGAGAGAGAGAGAAAGGGTCAAAAAGCGAATCGCTCAGAAGTCCGGAATCGAAATAGCAAAAGGGTAAAAAACGCAGCTCTTTTTTTTATTCTTGTGTTTGGGTTTTGTTGGGTGGTTCACTACTAAAAAAAAGACATTTGAGAAAATGTTTTTACATCAGATATCAAAATATATGATGTTAAAAATACAATTAACAAACTTTTTACATCAGGTATTTATTTGCAATGATATAAAAAATAAGAAAAAAAATATATTTCGCTACCTATTACATCGGGCAAACGCATCCACCGATGTAAAAAGTTTTCAGAAAAAAATACGGTGGCATTTTTGTAAATAAGAAATAAGATAGTAGAAATATTAATAAATAAAAGTAACATATTACATCGGTTAACTAAAAACCGATGTAATATCTTCACAGTAGATATTAATATAAAAAATAAATTAAAGAATCTATTAAAACAATTACATCGAGAAAAGTTTAAACCGATGTAAAAAAGTCAGAAAAAGAAGCTTGCATCGAGTATTAGTATCCACCGATGTAATAGGTTCAAAACCCTTACATCGGTTATTAGGATCCACCGATGTAATAGCTTCTCCACTATGTAAAAATATCAGAAAAAGATTTGTGATATTTTGTTAACATTTATTTCACTTCAGACATGATTAAAATTTAGTTATAGTTTGATCCTTAAACGTGTTACCCACACGACAACCACAAGTTCCCGAAACTTCAATCCCCTTCCACATTTCACACATTCATCTTCTTTGCATACTTCACCGCAACAAACTATCCCCATGGCTTCTCTTCTCAACGGCAGGCTATCTTTCTTACACCCCCAACACAGCCGCGAACCCCCCTTCTCCAAATTCCCCCACCACCCCAACCACTTCCCAATCCCCAAAACCCCCAAATCCAAACCCCTCAAGATCCGCGCCGATGTCAGCTACGAACCCCGCAACACCTCCTCCGATGACAAAATCTGCGAAATCCTCCGCAACCGCGACTACGACGCAAAATTCGGCTTCAACATCGACATCGATTCCTTCACCATCCTAAAAGGACTTTCCCACGAAACAATTAGGTCAATCTCAACCCTTAAATCAGAACCAGATTGGATGCTCAATTTCCGTCTCAACGCCTTCGAGAAATTCTCTAAAATGAAAGAACCCAATTGGTCAGACAACACTTATCCATCCATCAATTTCCAAGATATTTGTTATTATTCCGCTCCGAAGAAGAAACCCTCTTTTAACAGCTTAGAAGAAGCCGATCCCGAGCTTCTCAGGTACTTCGATAAACTTGGTTTTCCGTTAAACGAACAAAATCGCTTAGCGAATGTCGTCGTGGATGCGGTTCTTGATAGTGTTTCGATTGCAACTACTCATAGGAAGACACTTGAGAAAGCTGGGGTTATTTTTTGTCTGATTTCCGAGGCCATTCGAGAGTATCCTGATTTGCTTAAGAAGTATTTAGGTAGAGTTGTTCCTAGTGAGGATAACTATTACTCCGCGTTGAATGCCGTTGTTTTTAGCGATGGATCCTTTTGTTATATTCCTAAGGATACTAAGTGTCCCATGCAGATTTCGACTTATTTTAGGATTAACGCATTGGAGACGGGGCAATTTGAGAGGACGTTGATTGTTGCGGAGGATAGAAGCTCCGTTGGAAGGATGTACTGCGCCTTCGTATGATAAGAATCAGCTTCATGCCCACTGTCCGCATACGCCATTTCCGTTCAGTACCCTTACGACCACCACCAAAACCGCAACTCTCCCTCCCGGCCCACTCCACATCCCCATCCTCACAAGCCTCCTATGGCTCTGAAAATCCTTCTCCCAACTCGAACCTTTTCTCAAAACCCTTCACGCCAAACACGGTCCCATCATCGCTCTCAGAATCGATTCTCGACCTTCCGTTTTCATCGCCGACCATTCTCTCGCTCACCACGCTCTCATTCATAACTCGTCAATCTTCTCCGACCGCCCTAAAGCACTTCCCACCGGAAAGCTCATGTCCAGCAACCAGCACAATATCAGTTCCGCTTCTTATGGTGCCACGTGGAGAACCCTCCGCCGTAACCTGGCCTCCGAGATGCTCCATCCGGCGAAAGTCAAATCTTTCTCAGAAATCCAGAACTGGGTCCTTGACACTCTCATCAACCGTCTCAAAACGGCTTCAGAGTCTGAATCCTTTATGGCTGTTCCCCACTTTCATTATGCAATGTTCTGTTTACTTGTTTTTATGTGTTTTGGTGAAAGAGTTAGCGATGAGAAAGTTAATGAAATTGAACGCGTACAAAGGACGCTTCTGTTGAGTATGAGCAGATTCAGTATATTAAATTTTATGTTTGTTTGAATTAGTTTATTTGGTGCTGGAAACTGTTTATACTCAAAATCTTCCAGGGAACACTTTTTACTTCAAAAGCAGAGAATAATCAAATTCAAAAATGCTTTAACTTTCATTCAAAATTTATCACACCTCCGCTAATATTAAGTGCCAATTTTGTTTGATGTTCTATGAAGTCTATTAACTTTATCATCTTTTACATTTCATCAGGCATATTCAACTGTTGGAACTCTTGACTACATGGCTCCTGAAGTTTTGCTCAAGAAGGGGTATGTAATAGAGTGTGATTGGTGGTCTCTTGGGGCAATCATGTATGACATGCTTATTGGATATCCTCCATTCTGTTCTGATGATCCAAGGATGACCTGCCGGAAGGTATTGCTGTTGATTGAATTTTCCGTCCTTTCTATATCTTCTAAATTAATTATTTCCACCAAGCTGGTATTCCTGTATTGTGTCAGATTGTGAATTGGAAAGCATGCCTGAAATTCCCCAAGATATCAGCTGAAGCTAGGGATCTCATATGTAGCTTATTATGTGATGTTGACACAAGACTAGGAACAAGGGGAGTAAACGAAATAAAGGTAAAAACTCCCGTGGGATATTGTTTGTTTGGGAGACTGCTCTATTAATGTGATTTTGAATGGAATTATTTTTACCAAATTGACTGAGTTACAATTGAGTTTAAAGTAAAGTAATTAATGTTAGAGTGATTTTTACTTTAAAAGTTGGTTTAAAGTAAAGTAATTATTGTTAGAGTTGATTTTTTACTTTAAAGTAAAATTTCCAACTCAGTGTAAAAGCTACTTTATCACGTTGTCTCATTGGTCTTCTTTCTACTTTCAACACAACCTTTCTTTCTTTGAAATTCTTAGCAATGCATCTGAAGAAAAATAAATAATGTGCATATGTTATTGCGCCTTCTACCAATTGTTATAGATATGTCTTCGCCAAATCTATCGGGATAATCGCCATCTAAATCAATTCATTGGACTACGTGTGTGACTTGGTTATAAACACTAATGTCTATTGATTACAAATCATTGTGGGACTATCTTGTCTCCTGCAACTTTCCAACTCTCAAAAACAAACATTTACTTCAACTACTTCTCCATTATTCTGTAATGCATTAAATCTCAAATTAGAAGAAACAGATTCTGCAACTGAAGCAAGATATAGAAGTGAGTGTGGTAATTACCCTACAAAAGCTGCTATTACAAATGTGATTGCTGGAAGAAAAACAAGTGTTAAACCTGCAGTAACTACATGAAACATTCATTTTGTTCGACGAGAAACTACACAAAATTCTGCTTCATGACAAAACTGAAAATTGTTATTGCATGCATACTTATTCTGCACCAGTGTAAACAACTGCAGTGCAAATTCTCACAAATGAATATATTACTTTTCATAACTTTTAATTGATGTTACTATATAGCCATTACCTATGAAAGTAACGAACTATAGTCATTATCTTCATCTACAAATATCATATTCATGACCCATATAGCCATTACCTATGAAAGTAACGAACTATAGTCATTATCTTCATCTACAAATATCATATTCATGGGCCATAGTATTTCATTATCTTCATCTACAAGTATTCTGGAAAATACACCATCACTTCTTAATGGTTACTTGTTGTTTTTTACTTTATTTAGATAGATACACCACTTTTTAATTGCTTATCAATTCACTTCATATTGATTATTATATTGTACAGATACTAGATCTTCTAAAGTACGTGCTTTGGTTTCCCCAAGCAGCTGAAGCTATAAGCCAAGGTATATTCCATGATTCTTCATTAATATTCTCATCCTCTCTTCATTAGTGTTTGTTTGGTTAGTTTATTTATTTGGGTGATGTTTGTTTTGGTTGATGATTGAGTGATATGGTATTAAATGATAACATATAACTTACGTGGATGCAAGGTTTATTGTGTAATAATTATGGTCTGGTTTAGATCTGCATGCAAAGATGGTGAATGAAACAGAAAAAGATGGTTTTGGAAGTGTAGAAGTAGCGGTCATCAGCATGCTTTTACATACAGGTTTTCAAGTTGTGAAATGGTTTATCAGCATGCTTTTACATACAGGTCATCAGCATGCTAATATAATCGAGAATTAGATGCAGGTACTAAAAATAAATAATTTATTTCAAAAAAATTTCATTCATTTTACATCGGTTATTACTCAAAACTGATGTAAAAACTTTCAAAAAGGGACTTTTTACATCGGTTGGGAGTAATAACCGATGTAAAAATTTGCGTCACTGGGGACTTTTTACATCGGGTATTACTTCCAACCGATGTAAAAAACTGGATCAATTTTTTTTAAAAATGTGCATAATAACTGTTTCTTACATCGGTTCTTATATTATAACCGATGTAAAAAAGATACTTTTTACATCGGGTATTACGTCCAACCGATGTAAAAAACTGGATCAATTTTTTTAAAAATGTGCATAATAACTGTTTCTTACATCGGTTCTTATATTATAACCGATGTAAAAAAGAGACTTTTTACATCGGTCCCAGAACCGATGTAAAAAGTACATGATTTACTATATCGCCTGACTTTACATTGGACCCAGAACCGATGTAAAAAGTCAGTTTCACCCGATGTAAAAAGTCATTTCTGCACTAGTGGTTGTAATAGGAAGGGATTCAGAATATAGCGCCACCGACGGTGGGTTTTAGGGCTAGGGTTTGCGATGGTGATGGAAAGGGTTGTGTGAAGGAGAGGGGAAATGATACTGTAAAAGAAAATGAATGATGAAAAATGTAAAACAATATTAATGTCCTGTCATGATTCAATACACGCACGTGCATAGTAATAACGCGTTCCTTTCCATTAGATCCATTTGATCATCATCAGATGGCCGATATGTCAAGTCTCACCGTAAGACTCGTGCACCCTCGCGTATACAGTCCAGCCGACCCTTCCAAGCGTATGATGGGCCAAGCACAATTGCTTTTCGCACGCCCCATTTACTCATTTACTAATCCAACAAACAACATAACACCCCCTTTTCTCTGGGCCCAGTTCAATATTTGAACTTGGGCCCAGCCTTCGTTACACCCTAAGTCTTGCTTGTTAGTTCAACCATACACCCCCAGGCCAACTGGGCCTGAATTTAATATCTGAATTCAGGCCCTGACTTTTTACACCCCACCCTTTTTACTACTTAACTAAAAACGCACCCCTGGCTAATTTCAATATTTTTTTCCTTCTAATTTTTATTATTTTCTTATTTTCTATATTTCTTATTTTTACATATTATTTATTATTATTATTTCTTTTTATAATAATCATTGTTACTATTAATATTAATTATTATTATTTTCATTTTATTTTCTTAATACTATTTATTATCACATTATTATTAATTATTATCATTTAAATAATTATTTTATTTAAAAAACTCATGTATATATTGTTTATATTATTGCATTAAAGAATTTTTAAACCTAGTATCCTTAAGAATAAGGTAGATGAAAGGTGCCTAACACCTTCCTTTCGTCTAATGGAGTCTGAAACTTAGAATCTCTGCCTTTACAAATTAGGGTTTCCTATTAGATGCCCTTCCTTAGGATAAAAACTAGTAGTGGCGACTCTTGATTTTAAATCCAGTCGCAACAGCTGGCGACTCTGCTGGGGACTCAACCCTAGGTTTTAGGTTTAGTTTGGGTTTTTATTTGCTTTATTTATTTATTTATTGCATTTATTTATTCTTGTTTATTTTTATTATTATATATTTACTGCGTGGTGCGACTTTTGTTGCAAAAAACATATTCTCAAATAACCCTTAGAAAGAAGGTTCGTCTATTAGCTTAGGGGATACATCATCCCTGCGAGCTTATGTGACGACTTCGCCTAGAGTCGGTGGAATTACGCATAAAGAATACTTATCGAGATATATCCTCTTGACGGGTAGGACTTTGGAATGCCACCCATGACTTTTTGTAATGACCTTAACCAAAATCTCATGACGAGACCTTTCACAACTTTGAGACAAAAATCTCGGTCCGTAAAGAGGCTCCACCTAAAGTAGGCCCTTGTGCCTTTTCCCTCTGGTGTTATTCATGATACCCTTAAGAAAACTACCTTTTGGGAGGATAGACTAACCATAGGTCAAAGTTAAGAACCTACCTTATAAGGGTACCTATCACAAAATCCCGTCACTAAACCATACGTCCATGCATTCATACATTTCATATATTCATCATTTGTTTCTTTTATTTGTCTTATTCACAGGGTAAAAACAAAAAGCAATAAAATCAAGATTTTGGTGACTAACTTTGAAAATGGATACTCGAGGGAAACAACTTGTCCGTGTCAAT